TGTCCCACATCAGACCTGTGTGTCCCACATCAGACCTGTGTGTCCCAGACGTCTCCGCTCTGAAACTGTCAGGATGAGGGACACTCAGGATGTGCAACTGAACCGTCGGCTGATTGTAACCGTGCCCGTGGATAATCACAACTCTTCATAACTGAACTCATGAAACTCGTAGCAGCTGCTGCGCCATTGTAGGACGTTCGTTTTATTTTCTACAAAAGTCACAGAAATGAGGCGGAACTTTACCGGCTGAACATCCTGACTTTGTAAAACAGACCTTACAAATAAAATGTCTTAAATTATGTAAAATCTTTGTTTGGTTTTTAAAAGCTGCTTGTTAACGAGCAGCCTGTAACACGTAAACAAGCTGCTGCAGCTGACTGACAGGAAGTGAGAGCTGAAACAGGAAGTACGGTAAGCTTTTCCATTCGAGGTCGACAAGATTTTCTGTGACTGATGCTGGTGCTGGCTGACATGATGCAGAGAAGGAAGGTAGATGTTTTATGTGTCCAAGAGACCAAGTGGAAGGGCAGCAAGGCTTGCAGCATTGGAGCAGGGTTCAAACTGTTTTACCATGGTGTGGATAGAAAGAAATGAAGTAGGGGTGGTCCTGAAGGAGGAGTTGGCAAAGAATGTAGTAGAGGTGAAGAGAGTGTCAAATAGGGTGATGTGTCTGAAGGTAGGTCTGATGCTAAACATCGTCAGTGATTATGTTCCACAGAATGTGATGGGGAGGAGAAAGATACATTTGAATCTGGATGAAGTGATAGAGAGTATTCCCAGGGAGGAGAGAGTGGTGATTGGAGCAGACCTGAATGGAGATGTTGGTGAAGGAAATGAGGGATGAGGAAGTGATGGGAAGGTTTGGTGTCAGGGAAAGAATCTAGGAAAGACAGATGGTGGATTTTGCCAAGAGAATGGAAATGGATGTAGTCAACACTTATTTCCAAAAGAGGGAGGAACATAGATAAGAGGGTTTTAAGAGGAGTCCAGAAAGCTCTGAAAAGAATCAAGAAGTGGAAGGCGGTAGGACCTGATGACATACCAGAGGAGGTTTGGAAATGTCTTGGAGAGATGGCAGTGAGGTTTTTGACTCAAATATTCAATGGCATATTTGAGGGTGAGAAAATGCCTGAGAAGTGGAGAAGTGTGCTGGCGCCCATTTTTAAGAACAAGCGTGATACCGAGTTGTAGCAACTACAGGAGAGTTAAGTTGATGAGTCACACGATGAAGATCTGGGAGAGAGTTGTGGAAGCTATTAGACGAGAGGTGACTATCTGTGAGCAGCAGTATGGTTTCATGCCAAGAAAGAGCACCACCGATGCCATCTTTGCTTTGAGAATGTTGATGGAGAAGTGCAGAGAGGGTCAGAAAGAACTCCATTGTATCTTTGTGGATTTGGAAAACGCATATGACGGTGCCAAGGGAGGAGGTGTGGTGTTGCATGAGGAAATCTGAGGTGGCAGAGAAAGAAGTATGTTGTATTGGTTCAGGACATGTATGAGGCTCAATGGGATTAACCTGTCTAAATAAAGAACAGTGGTGAGAGGTGCTGTAGGAGTGATATAGCTTCAAGGTGGAGGTGGGAGTGCATCAAGGATCTGCTCTGAGCCCCTTATTGTTTGCTCTGCTGATGGACCGACTAACGGATGAGGTCAGGCAGTAATCCCCATGGATTATGATGTTTGCAGATGACGTGATCTGTGGTGAGAACAGGTGGAAGAGAACTTGGAGAGGTGGAGGTATGCACTTGAAAGAAGAGGAATGAAAGTCAGCCTTAGTAAGACAGAGTCCATTTGTGTGAATGAGAGGGAGGAGGTGGAACAGTGAGGCTACAAGGAGCAGAGGTCACAAAGGTGCAGGACTTCAAGGACTTGGGGTCCACTGTCCAGGTAAATGGGGAGTGTGGTAAAGAAGTGAAGAAGAGAGTCCAGGCAGGATGGATGGAGAAAATGTCCTGATGCATGTTCAATAATCCAGGTAAAAAAAAATCTAAAAATGTTAAATCGGGTTCTCTGGATGGGTTAAAAAAATTGTAGAAACGTTTCTACAATTTTTTCTTTGAACCCATCCAGAGAACATGATCTAACTTTTCTAGATGGATGGAGAAAAGTTTCAGGAGTGATTTGTGACAAAAAGCATGGCGGCAAAGGTCAAACGGAAAATTTACAACAGTGAGACCAGCTATGTTGTATGGTCTGGAGACAGAGACATGGACAAAAAGACAGGAGACAGAAAGGAAGATGTTGAGGTTCTCCTTAGGCGTGACGAGGATGTATAAGATTAAAAATGAGATCATCAGAGGTACAGCACAGGTTGAACAACTGGGAGATAAAGTTAGAGAGACCAGACTGAGATGGTTTGGACATGTCCAGAGGAGGGACAGTGGGTATACTGGTAGAAGGATGTAAGAAATGCAGCTGCCAGGAAAAAGATAGAGGATAAATTTGAATGTAGATAGAGGATAAGGAGGTAGTTGGAGTAAAAACAGAGGGCAGAGATGGAGGAGGATGACTCTGTGGCGACCCCTGAAAAGGAAACAGCAGAAAGAATAAGAAGGAAAGCTACAGTAACTAAAGTTTAATACATGAACTCTAACTGAGTTTCATATAAAAGCTGATGGTATCAAAATATTAATGTCAAGTATAAATATTTCCTCAGGTTGAGTGATGTTTTGAAGAGCAAAAAGTTCTTTGCAACATTGTTGGAGAAAAAGGTTCTCGCTCAACTTTCTCACTCCGAAAGAACCACACCAGCAGGAGAAGGTTTGTAACTTGACATTTTACTTGCAAGGAACCATTCAAGACGGGTTAATTCATGAAACATGTCATAGAATAAGGGCAGCATGGTGGCACAACTGGTAGAGATGCTGCCTCTCAGCGAGCAGGTCCCTGGTTCAAATCCTGGTCCCGAGGCCTTTCTGGGTGGAGTTTGCATGTTCTCTACGTGCATCCATGGGTTTTCTCCAGGTACTCCAGTTTCCTCCCACAGACCAAAAACATGCATGTTAGGCTGATTGGTAACTCTAAATTGTCCCTAGGTGAGAGTGAATGGTTGTTTGTCTCTATGTGTCCCTGTGATGGACTGGAGACCTGTCCAGGGTGTCCCCCGCCCCTTGCACGGTGATTGCTGTACATGGGCACCGGTGACCCCCGTGACCCAAAATGGAAGAAGTGGGTAAAAGATAATGGATGGATGTCACAGAATAAGCATCAAATAGTTTGTTACAGACTTTTATAAAGCAGCAGAGTCCAGCGGGCCTTCCCTCACCAGCGGCAGTCGGATGCAAAAACTTGATCCAGGGCCGTCAGCGAGTCGGCCTCCAGGTGGAGACAAGAGAACGTTTTGGACATGATCTCATTGTGAACAAGAAGAGGCAGTGTGAGTCAGCCAGACGGCCACCAGGTGAAGATAAGAGACTGTGTCAGGCTCAAAGCAGGAGGGATACATACTGTATGAAAACAATAATAAAATCATCCATCCCATCCATCCATCCATTATCTTTACCCGCTTATTCCATTTTGGGTCACTGGTGTCCATGTCCAGCAATCACTGTGCGAGGGGCGGGGTACACCCTGGACGGGTCTCCAGTCCATCACAGGCCACATAGAGACAAACGAGACAAACAACCATTCACTCTCTCACTCACACCTAGGGACAATTTAGAGTTACCAATCAGCCTAACATGCATGTTTTTGGTCTGTGGGAGGAAACCGGAGTACCCGGAGAAAACCCACGCATGCACGGAGAGAACATGCAAACTCCACCCAGAAGGCCCCTGGACTGGGGTTTGAACCAGGGACCTGCTCGCTGAGAGGCAGCAGCTCTACCAGTTGCGCCACCGTGCTGCCCCTAATAAAAACATTTATACCAAAAAATTCTATAACAAACATTAAGGTCAAGTTTGGCTTCATATTTCAAACATTTTGTATTTAGCAGGTTTTTATAGAAAAAGCTGTAAACTGATTTCAAAGTTTTATTCTTGTGTTGGATGTGCTGAAAACCCTTCAGCTCTCTGAGATGTGCAGAAAACTTTCTAAAACTGTGACATTTCCATGAGTTTAGATGAGCTGTAATAAACCAGGTCAACTTCCAGTCTGGCTAAAAATGTTGCTCAACATGAACTCAAATAAAAAATCTCTCCGCATCCTCATGCAAACACATGGAGGCTCTAAAAATAAAGTTTAACGGTTTGATTGGAGTTGTCTCTGGACGTAGGATAAACTTTCTGTCCAGAGGATGAA